CTCTCCAGCCTCTCAATGATCCCACCACCTCAAATCCATTTTTTCATGGACACCATGGGCTTCAAGATCAGCCTGAATCGACTTGTCAGAGTTGACTAATACAATAGCTATAAATCTGGTGTCCCAGAAAGTCCCTGGCATGCAATTCGTACACAGTGAATATCTGCTGCTTAAAAGAATGCATGAAATAGCCTCGGCTGGTGTGGCTCAGCTGGCTGGAGCATCGTCCCGTAAACAGGAAGGTCACGGGTTCATTTACTAGTTGAAATAAGTGACAGCTAACCAATCCATGTTTCTCTTCCTTTCTCCTTTCCCTTCTAAAATCAGTAAGCATATCCTTGGGTGAGGATAAAAAGAATGTGTGAAACAAAAGGGTCATAGCTGCTCTGGTGGAACAAAGATCTCTCTCTTACACAGAATAGTTTTAAAACTTCATCCACCTGACGTTTAAATGGCAAAAACCATGAATGTTAAACCAAAGTTTGGAAAACCCTGCATTAGTTGATGTAGGAAATTCCTTTAAGATTGTGTTCACTGCATTCACACGTAATTTCTTTTCCCACTAGGAAGTCACATCCGCCAAAAAATAAAAAGTTGACCCAGCTACCACAGAGTGTGCATTCTTTGAGGGACAGTTCAAGTTTAAGGGGAGGGCCACCCAGCTATGACCAGAGACCTACCTGGTTCAGTTACTGAATTTGGAAGAGCGCCTATATTTCTGAATTTCTCTCCAGGAGAATAAAAAAAGCAACTACCTCAAATGAATTGTTGTGGGGATTAAAAAATACAGGCGCTCTTGCCCTGGCTGGTGTAGCTCAGTGGATTGAGCACGGGCCTGAGAAGCAAAGAGTCACTGCTTCGATTCCCAGCCAGGCCACATGCCTGGGTTGCAGGCCAGGTCCCCATAGGGGACACATGAGAGGCAACCACACATTGATGTTTCTTTCCCACTCTTTCTCCTTCCCTTTCCCTCTCTCTAAAAATAAATAAGATACTTTTAAAAAAAGGAATCTAGGTGCTCTTTACCAATGTCATCCCAATCAATTTAACAACAACAACAGAGAGCTCAAAAGTCAGTTTCTGGCCCATGATAAGTGCTCCCTCAATGTTTCCATACGTCTTCCAGCCTCGCTCCGCACCCAGAACAGTGACTTACTAAATTATGTGGCTAACACAACAACACTGAAGAAACCAGTGATACTGAATTTTTTTCATGCTATTCTCACCCTGAATCACACCCCCCAAAATATGGATCCTTTGGCAGGAACATTACAGCATTTACGAAAGCACAGATAACATCAAAATTAACATTCAGAAATGGGTGAAATGTGTGTGAATTTTTTTCATTATTCCCAATGCTGAAATTAGTGATACCCAAATGGATAGCTTGGACCTTAAAGTCTGTCTCTACACAGAAGTCCCAGCACTGCTGAGTACAGAGGACCAGGCCATGCTGATACAGCTGCCTGCGTTTTGATCTGATTTTGTCTCTTCCCAGATCGCCCTTTATGAAGTGTAATGTTTTAGTTAGAAGCTACGACTTTCAGCTTAGGACACAATTTATGCTTCAGAATTATTTCCGAAAAACTAAAAAACCCTAGATGCTTCATTTCCTACCATAATTCTTTGGGTTTTGTGAATTTTCAATGGCTCCAAAAGTCCCTCTACTCCTTTCCAAGGTTAATTTCCCTTCTGAGTCCTTAATACACACTGCTCCTGCCCAGGTCTTATTCCATTATTAATCTGTTTGTTCCCACAGCTTGAACATGTCCTTTGCACACTCTCCTTAGCCTGAGAACTTACCCACAGCTCTTGTCCCAGCCATCTCAGCCTAACTCAGTAAATGATCCTACCATCCTGTCTCTTCAAAATCCTCTCATTTCTTAGTCTCTAAATTTACTGAGGAAAGCCAACACTTTCTCACTTGCTACTCAGTCATTGACTTATTTATCTTACCGGCTCCCCTCTTTTGCTCCTACAGGAAATGCTCTTGCAAAGATGAGCAGTGATTCATTCGTGAAGTTCAAAAGCCTCCCTTCAATTCACCCTCAGTAACCACTCAACGTGATAGGACTGGCTGCCTCTTCTGGTGGGGAGGGGTTGTTCTACTACAACACATACCTTTTTGAGCTTCTCTGCTCAATCTTCAAACAGTAAACACTTCACTGCTATTTTAACTTCTTTCTTCTTTCCCCGTGTCCAAATCTTTAATCGCTGTATATTTGTATATGCATCTCCGGGTTTCATTTCCACTCTACACCTTTCTCCCAAGTTCTAGTTCTGTGTAAGTGGTTATGTTCAAACCAGGTTCAATGTATCAAACATGGGAGCATCACTTTGCCCTTACCACTCTATTCCTCCTCCTGTCCTCACTTCCTCAGCTAGTTTATACTTAGGCTCCCCCTAGACACCAGCACAAAGTATAAACCCCATCTTCCCTCCCGCTTTGTCTCAACCTGCACAGCCACCGGGGTCTCCCTGTCCCATCCCCCAGGCCCCCCTTTGTTACCTCCAGCACTGACAGGTCCTGCTTCTGCCTTCCCTTCACTTTCAGAACTGTCTAACACTTAAGTCCTCAGCCATTTTCCAGCTTTAAGTAAGCCCCCCAAAGGGATCCAACTGACTACACACAGTTCAGTTCCACCCCAGCAGGCCACATACACATCGTCTTGGTTCAAGGCAGAATGACCTCTCTGCCCAGTGTTCCCAGACACACTGAACTTCACACTATTTCTGGAATGCAGTTTCGCATGTCGGTTCCTGCCATTCCCTTCCCAGGCATGCCATGCTCTTAATCCCCTTTTGCACTTGTGGGGCACTTAACTCTTCTTTCAATATGTCACCTCCTCTATGAAAAATGTCCTGACACTATCTGGCAGAAAAAAGGCTCCGCCTGCCATGGTCTTGTCGTGCTTCACACGCAATTCTCACACCAACCACACGGTGTGCTGCCTGTCTCCCTGGTGCAGGACATTCGGGGCAGGAGTGTCACTCACTTCCACAGGCTCAATGATAAGAATGTTCTCATCTCCTCTAAACTCCCAGGCAACACATGACTGAGAATGATATACAGACAGAAAGAGTTTTGTGAGAGCTTTAATGGCACAAAATGTTTATAGCTACAAGTTATACATGTATTGTAAACTGTATATAATGATACAAAGTGCTAACTAAATAGATGAAGAATGCATAATCACTTTGGCTCAGTTAATTCCAATAATTTCAACAACTGGTTCACTTAAAAATTCATCTGCCTGGCTAAGTCTTCAGTTTTCATTTTTTTAGGACAGTAAATATTTGTACTGTAATCAAAGTAACATGTTGAACCTTCAGCATGCAAGTTTGTGCAGTTTTGCTCTTGACTATTTGTAAATATTTTAAGCCAATTTTCATCAAACAGAAAAAATTATGCCTGCCTTTTTATCTCCTGTAAACAGGTGTAAAGTTTTTTAAACATTAATCTTAAAATGTCAACAGTTAATTGTTGGGTTCTCCTTTCCAATCACACGATCTGTTTCTGCTCACCACACACCTGCGTGGAGAACACAGACATTCATCACGCGTGGTAGGGCCACCGACTAACCCCACGGGGTCCCGCCTTAGACCTTCTACTGTGACCCTATAATAAACAGTTCAAAATTTCACTGGTATTTTTAAGAAAAATGGCAGAACTAAATTTATTTTCAATGTGGAAAAAATAAACAGACCCAAGTTCAATCACACCACTGATAGAACTGCTACTGAATTTCAGTAGAGGGTAATGTACTGCCTGTAAAAAGTTGCTCTTATTTTAAGAATAATTTTACACTCCCCTCCCATGATACCAATTGTAATACAAATTATATAATATAGCAGTTTATTTATTTAGCCCTCCTAACCTGCCCAACCTTTTAAATTTTACTCAGGCTTTGCGAAAATCAGTGGGCCATCAGATTTTTGTTTTTTCCAAAGAGACTTAAATATGAACACTTGAAATAAATAGGTTATAGAAGGCAAATCAAGTGTTACCAGGTTTAAGAATAAAATAGAAACAAAGTATAATAAAAATCTCTCCAAAATTATTTAGCATTCACTGCTAGAAAGAAAAACAAAGTAAAATAATTCAGAAAACTATTTTGTATATATCATCTTTTTCTTAAGACAGCCAGCTATATACTTGGAAAAAAAGTCAAAAATTTATTTTTTTGTTTTATCTATATGTTATTTTCCACTATAACATGTAAATTTTACAAAACTTGATGTGAGAGAGAAAAGAGAGAGTTTCTGCAAACTGGTGAACCTGGTTGTCCAAGTGTTTTTATTCAAGTCAACCTGATGCACTTTATTTAATGAGTAAATTGCTAGTTTTAAAATTAACAATGGTTCTCTAAATATTCAATAGTAATGTCTCTATCATAAACAGTAATTATTTATATATAAAACATATAATAGTATCCTTCAGAGTCATGCTATGAGTTCTGAAATCCAATAAATCTACTTGACATAATTGGTAATCCTGACGCTTTCTAACAATTTGGTCCTAAAGCTTCACATTTTAGAAACAAACAAACAAAAAAAGCATGTCATTGAAGGAAGTTGTTGAGGGCTCTGGAACATCAGGCATTTGATGTAACTGAAAAGACAGCTGCAACAGAAAGTGGGCAGTGCCTGCAGATCACAGGATCACCTCAGAAAGATCACATAGTAAACATTTAAAAAGGGGAGATCAGAAAACAACAGATGGCATCTTTTCAGAACTGTGTCCAATGTTCCCACAAACCAAGTCTGTTTCTCCAAGTTGCTCAAGTGCTTGGATTAACTCAAAACAATCACCTTTAGTTTAAAGGCTTCAGAGTAGATGTGATGCTTCCAAAGGCAGTGAGCCTGTATTTACACCACAAACTGGACCTCATTCCAAAGTCTCTTCTTAGAAAAGAAAGTTTTTTTAAATGTAAAGAAAGTCATGAAAAATTCACATGCAACTAATAAACATAAAAATACCAAACACACACACAAAAATCTCAAAAGCAATTTCATATATTTCTAGGCCTGAGACGTTCCTTATCAGAAATAAAGATTCTACAACATAGAAAAGACAGCATTACAACATACTAGTAGTAAAATCTGCTGATGTATTTTAGTTCCTATTCCATTTCATAGCTGTCATTTACACAGATCGCCTCCTACGAATGAAAAGGTGCCGTCAGGAGCTTAGACAAAGAGTGGCTCCAAAGCTGGTTTAAAATAATTTTTTATTGCCCAGGATATTTTTTCCTTGTGTCTTGTGGGGTCTTTTTCTGTTTTCTTTCTAATAACTAATAAATTCAAGCTTAGAGAAGCTTGCCTTTGTCTTGAAAAACAAAACAACAAAGCTTTTATATCATTTGCCAACCCGATCTTGTTTTTAGAGAGAGAAGGGAGTCATCTTGCAACAGTAAAATTTGTACCATGAGTGGTTCATGTCTCAGTCTGGTGGTACCAAAAGGAGACAACAGCATTACTGACAAAGTTATCATCTGCTGGTGGCATTTGCGGAAAAGAAGCCCTTGCAAATTTCTAAACAACAGTAAACTCTGTTAGGAAATTCTAAAGTGTCTTACAGGCCAAAAAGGGAATGAGGTTAGTAAAATGCCTCAACAGAGTTTGAATAAAATACTGGATTTGAGAATTACTGGAGCTTGGATATGTAAAAAATAGGGTTGTAGGTTGGGTCATGCTTACAACGGTCTCAAGTTCAAATACACTACTGTGACAATACACCAGTTCACAGGTCACACGCTTTGCCAGGGGCTTCTTTCCTTCAGTAGGTGCTGGCAGAAGGCGAGCTCAGTCGTTTTCCGATGTAGATGCTGAAAGGAACAGAGAGTACCATGTCTCATCTATTTCAACAGTTCTACCCAGGCTTGCCCACAGGATGAACTTTAACAAAAACTAAAAATTCAGCCCTTATAAAATGCTCAAAAGGTATGAGTACATAGTCCCCAATGTCCTGAAGTCATCAGTGACTGACCTAAAACTAGTCACCAGCCAGCCCAACTGGTCTCCAGAGGCCAGACAGGACAGTGCAGGGCCAGCAATTAGACAAGGGAAGGGGAGAGAAAACAGACACCCCAGGAGAAAAAAAAAAGGCCAAACTCCTTTCGATTACTTCTTTGTGATGGATAAAAAGTTCTATGTTTTTGTAATTGACTGATACTTCAGATACAAAATATATTGAATAGTAATATCCCCAATTATAAAGCTCCCCATGCTTTCAAGAGGGCTCTTACTAACAGTTGAACTCTTAAGAACTAAAAGCCCAGTATTATTTGTTTGTGCTAAGCAACTACTTTACCCTTAAACACCATAGCAGAAGGGAAGTTAAGGAAAATACGAAATTAGTCCTACCCCCCACCCAGTGTAATAAAACCAACCAACTTTTAAAATCCCTATTCCTACATTCATCTATAACAACAGTTACACTTACAGAAGCAAGAGAAATAGTCTGGATTCAAGAAAGGAAGAGACACTGCAAGGTACAAAAACCCACCTCTTAAAGGCAAATGGACCACAGTGCAGTCAATATTACAGGGAACTGGAAGTCCTACCCCTGCCCCCATTCCAACCCCATACAACAGTCACACGTTCCCTTCCAACCCAAACCTTCTGCGGTGATGCTCATGATCGCTGTCCTCAAAAACAGATCTATCACTCAGAAGACAAAGGGGGTGTGTGGAACAGTCACGCATGTTTCTGTGTTCATGACTGTGCACATCTCTCCCATATGCTGAGCTCCTTAAAAGGAAGCTTAGGAAACATGTATTTTTTGCTTATTATATACAGAAAGTGACCCACTGGACATGCTTAAAGAGAATTAACAGATGTTTTGGAGTAAAATTAATAGCTAGTTTTCAACTCCTAAAACCTTTCAAAAATATATTTCCTCAATTATTTAAATCAAGACAAAAAAGGACTTTAAAAGGCATGCCTGAAAAATTAATGAAGTACAGGTAAATGTGGAACCAATTTTAGAAGAATAAATGGAAATGCTACAAAGAGAAAGAAAACAGTACCTCATCAAACAACTGACCAGTCTCACTCAAGGACTATAATATAATAAAATGGTTTATTTTCCCAGCTAGGGAAAAAAGTTCACATCAACCCCCAAATTTAGTTTACATTAAAGTTTAAAGAATTCTAAGTAATTTATTCAACAACAATAAAACCCAAAAAGAAAAATCAATTACAGACAAGCCCATTTAAAAATGGGCTTCACTTAGGCTCTGACTTGTACGGCTCAGTGGGTTGGGCATCATCCCACAAACCCAAAGGTCGCAGGTTTGATTCCAGTTCAGGGTGTAAGCCTGGGTTATGGGCAGGACCCTGACTGGGGGCATGTGAGAGGCTGCCTGTTCCTCTCCTGCCTCCCTTTCTCCCTCCCTTCCCCTCTACCCAAAAATAAATAAATAAAATCTTTTTTTAAAAAGATCACTTACAAAATTAATATGAACTTATTTTACAGAAAAAACTACAATTAAAAATGCTAATCACTGTACCAACAGTGGACCAACCTTAACAATTCTTTTAAGCTCACACCCTATTTGCACTAAAACATTAATAGGAAAACAATACAAACTGATTTTACATGTGTTTCTTAAATCTGGAAATAAAACATGAGGATAAGATGAACAAAAAAACGTGTACAAGTTGCTCAGTACTTACCCTAGCCCCAAAGCCAAAACATGAGACAGGAAGAGGGATGGAATGAACACTTTAAGAAATTCCGCGGAGAAAATACCCCCTTTCTTCATGGCTCCGCTTTTCCTCATGCTTAAAGAAACAGACCGTTTTGGGTGTCGGAAATGGAACTCCCTGGGGGAAGAGATTCAGAAGTGGGTATCAGAAATGCATGTGCTGAAAACAGCGTGGGAAGTAGCAGGTCCAATGCATATATGCCCATTGTGCCCACTGAAGAGAACAAGTGAGAACTCACTTAGGTGGAATGTTCTCGGGCCTACTGGACCAGTCTGACACCCAGTCCACACTTTTCTTCAGAGCATCAACTTCTTTCTCTCCTTCTACAGCTTCTTCTTCTGACTATAAAGAAGAATTCAAAAATTAGAAAGACAAAAAGGAATACCAGGTCTTCCTACTACAAAAGACAAATCCAGAAAACACATGGAAATCAAAAGGTTGAACATCAGTACTTTTTATGTAAGAAATATGTCATTTTTTCTGAAAAGGCTGACAGAACTTGAGTAAGTTTCACTATTTTTATATCTAGGCATAGAATATGAACCTGAAACTTCAATTAAACCTCAATAAAAAAAAGTGAACCTAAAAACAAAACCACATTTGAGCCCTGGCTGGTGAAGCTCAGTGGACTGAGCTCCAGCCCATGAACCAAAGGGTCGCCAGTTGGATTCCCAGTCAGGACACATGCCTGGGTTGTGGGCCAGGTCCCCATTGCGGGGCATGTGGGAAGCAGCTGCACAGTGATTTATTTCTCTCCGTCTCATCCTCCCTTCCCCGCTCTCTAAAAATAAATAAACCTTCAAACAACTAAAAAAAAAAACACGCATTTGAGGCTATGCTAACTGAAGTGTGGAAAATGTTGATAATTGTTGAATTTGGGTGATGCTTACATAAAGGTCTACTATAATATACTCTTTACTTTTGTATGTATTTAAGACTTTTTACAATTAAAAGTAAAAGACAACATATCAAAAAGTATTCTGTATGCCACAGGTGGGAAGAACAAGTCCCGCTGGCCGAATCCAGACCTCCACCTTTTTTTTTATCCAGCCCAACACCTTGTTTCTACCAGGAGGCCGTGCGGAGGAGCTCCTCGCCCCTAGTTAATTAAGGATTAGTTACATTTACACAGCCCTAAAACCACATTCAGCCCTTTGAAGACAACCACGAGGCTGATGTGGCTGCTGGTGAAAATGAGTTTGACATCCCCGTACATGCTACCAAATATAAAGTGATGAGAAAATAAGTAACTAGGAGACAGACATGATAAGTAAACAAATAATAATAGTATTTATTAAGCATGTATCAAGAGACAAGTCTATCTCTAAGCACTTTCCATGCATTAACTTTTACCATGCAACCCTGTAAAAATAGGAACTGTTAATACCCAATTTTTGCAGATGAGGAAACATATAAGTTAAGTAATTGCCTAAGGTTCCATAAGCAGTAAGTAGCAGGGCCGAAATCCAAACCCAGGCAAAATGTGAGGTCTCTAGAGCCCTCCCTCTTGGGCATTAGGTTTTACTCCCTAGAAGGTTCTATTTTTCTAGACAAATCAGTATCCAAACATTTCCCAAGGTTTATTCAAAACTTCTTAAGATGAAAAGCTGTTTTTGTGGTTTTTTTGGAATAAGTTATTTTATACGGAGTCAGAATTTGACCATCTTTTTTATCAACTAAATGAAAAAGAAATGTATTTTCTCTTTAATAATAACCTTAAGTTTTCAGGCTAAGAGCAATCAAATTTTCCAAAAGCTTCTTTTATAGTAGAACCCACAGGAATGAGACATTCCTAAAAATGACACAGCATTATTTATTCAGTTTTAGGGAATGTGATGCTATGACCTCAAACCAAAGGATCTCAAAGCTAAGAATTGTTTCTGATTTGTTATTTTGTTTGAATAGGATCCAGTCTTTGATCAAAACTTTGATTTTTTTCAGTAGGTAGTTACGAAATGCAGAGCCTGACATATCCCAAGATTCTTTTTCAACAGGTCTGGTCCTCTGTGGAATAGCTGCCCAGAGAAGGCAGCTTCAGAACTCTCCAGATACAGGTAGTCCTTTTTACTACCAAACCAAAAATACCATCCCTGTTGATTTTTGCTATGGTCTTATTTAGTGTGCCTGGACTTCCCAAGTTCCACTGGATGACACAGTGTAGCCTTGAGGATTAAATTTTTCCCACTGGGAAAATCTCAATACCACTGGGTATTGAGATTACTTAGAATCATGAGTTGGCTCTTCAGAGTAAATCTAAAAACATCCTAAATCAAAAACGATAAATTGTTACAATCTATTTATAGACTGATTTGTATACACACAGTATCTGACAACATCTAACACGCTGCATATCCTTTCTGTTAAGTTTCCAACTTAGGTCTCATATATCTCTCTAAAACTGTTCAAAGTTTTAGGTTTAAATTTGTGAACAGTTAGTATTTCATACTTTCCAAGAGAATTAAAAAATATTACGATTTTTTTTGCTCTATTTTCTTAAGATGATGTAATTTTCTCAGTTGACTGAAGCAAAGTTATCTTTGGACTATTTTTTTTAAACCCAGATCACTTTAGAGTCAGGACCATAAGCTCTCCAGCTGTCCTCATTTACTATCAGCCCTAAGCCTCCTTTTATTAATCTTAAATTTGCCAGTTTCAGGTTTTAAATTGTCTTCCAACTCAGAATTTCAGAATGTGGTAAAATGTGCTTAATCTAATTAAATAAGAGCTATGCTTTCAACTGAATCGATAACCCTCTCTCTATACCTACATCTATTCACACAGTAGATTATGGTCATTTTAGCCCGTCCTCATGTGGAGGGCCCTCAGCTTCTATCCCTTATACCATCCTTCTCTGGCCCACCTCAAGTTCTTTAAGTCTCTAAACATGGGCAGTAAACTGCAGTCTGTGGGATCCACGTTTAGATAAACCAGTTTACAAGAGGGAAAAGAGAGGACAATTTTAGTTTCTATCACCTTACAAAGATACCCAACACTATGCTGGCCTCTTTGGTCCTAGACACACACTGCAAAATGCCTTCAAGAGACAATCCAGTCTATTTTCTGTGACAAAACTGAGACTCTTGAGGACTACCATCCTGAAAATATAGTCTGAATGACCTTTTGCCTAAATGCATTCTAACTTAGGTTTCTTCATACCGTAACTCACCAGACATGTGTTAGTTTGTTCTCAGGACCTTGTGAGCTCTCCTGAAACCAATTTCTTTTAATGACTTATTTTAGTAGAAGGAATGGTAGTCACAGGCTCAAACAGCCCTGGCTCTATCACTTATTTGCTCTGTAATCTTAGATAAGTAACTTAATCAAGACAAAGCCTCACCTTTTGTTCATGGGTATAATATCACCTCCTTCACAGAAATGAGAACATTAAAAGTTGGATAAACCTAAAAAAATTAATTTAGCACCAATAATATGTCTAATAAATTTCAATATTTTTCCTTCTTTCTCCTAGAAAAGGCTGAAAATGTTATATTTCTGGTATAGACATATATAGAAATATTCAGTAAGAGCAAGTATCATAATAGTCCTTTGTTAACTCCTTTAAATTGGTTCTTAACCCTACACTTGCTTCTCATTCATGAAAAAAAATTTCAACCTCCCACACCTAAAGTGATTAATTTTACATGATCTTTTCTGAAATTAAAGAGGCTATTTGAAAGTTTAAATAAACTGTATCTACCACCGATATTTCCTTCACTAAAAGTCTTACTCTAGATATCATGCTTCAGATACCCTGGCTGGGTGGCTCAATCAGTTGCAGCATCATCCTGTACACCAGAAGGTTGCAGGCTCCATCGTGGTCAGTGTACATACCTAGGTTGAGGGTTCGATCCCCTGCTGGGGTATATAGAGGAGACACCCAATCCCTATTTCTCTTTTTCTCTCTCTCTTCCCCCTTCCTTTCTCACTTAAATCAATAAACATATCCTTGGGTGAGGATTAAAAAAAAAGACATAATGCTTTTGATATATGTGTAAAAGTTAAACTGCTTTTCCAAACATGTAATCCTACTTAAACTGGCTGATCTGATTGTTACACTGCTTATCCAAAGGTTGATATTAACCAATGTTCTTTCAGGTACTTGTTTCTGAGTAGGAATCCCACAGCAATGCTATCATAACCTGACCTAGAGGCCAAAAGTCTTACACATTCAACTCCAGGAGTCCCCTAAGTTCAATCATCAGTTAAGTCTAATTGTACACCTGCCGTTGCACGAACACTGACCAAAATGGTCCATTACGTTGTTAGGTGGAGTATCAGAGGGGAACAGTGTACGTGAAGGGAGAGGGAGATCTATGGTCAAATGAGTAATTGGGAAATACTTGGTTTAAATAAACAGATTTCTTTACTGCAGGAACCGTCAGAGCTTGTAATGTTCCCACCTGCTGTGACTAACGGAGAGGAAGGAGCCCAGGCACCATATCCTTTCCCATTTATCTGACATCAAAACGATTTTGTGGGGTTTCCCACTGAGCAAACGTTCCTCAAAATATATTCTGGAAAATGCTATTCTAGATTTTCAAGTGTCCATACAAAAGACAATACGGACTGAGGATATTTTCCTCAGAACAGACTACAGCGAAAAATTAATTTCGCTTCTCTATCTTGGCATTCCTTAGTACGCTTTTTGCCATGGAAACTTCAGACTTCCCTCTTCATTGTTACAGCTTACTGCACACAGCCAAACTTACATACAAAAGCCAGCAGTTTGGCAAGTCCAGTCAGACACCTTCCTGCACGAGAGCCGAGCTACTCTAACCTCCTCCACAGAGCCCAGTTCATCATGAAACACATTTGTATTCAATGCCAGAGGTTTCAGAGAACAGCACAAATAGAGCAGAGTCAAAGCAGGAAGAAATCATGCAGCCTTCTGAAATATAACAATAGTGGGTGGATCCCACAAAACATGCAAAATATTTCTAGTGCAAAGGGTTCAAGACATGTACAGTGAGAATCCCACAAAGCAAAGTTTTTATTACAATTTATTTAATCATTCATTCAACATACATTCTTCAAGTACCTTAACACAAGAGAAAAGGACAATAGTTCCCATCCTCAGGAATCTGTACTCTGACACTTTGAGGTGACCTGACATCAATAAAAGGCTGGCTATGAACATTTGAAATCATTAACAATTACTTACTCATCACGAATTTTATAACATAGACCTTTATAAGCTTTCAATACCATATCCATCTATACTTCCAACAACGTCAACTCCTAAGTGAATTATATTTACCTTACTTAACTTGAGGAACCTGTATAATTTAGATCAATTTTATCTTAGCTGTTGAAATTCATCTCAAAAGTCACCGTTTCATTTGGGATGCAACAAAAGTTTTCATACCTGGTTCTACAACCACCTCCCTTTTCATTTATTTTGTGACCTTAAATGAGACATGTGTTTTGGTTTTCTATTTATAAACTCAAGAAAACTAGCCTGGCACAGTAAAATGACACCTCATAAACAATCATTTTCCAATTCTTTTAGGGTGATAAGCCCCCAAATTCTCAGTTGTAAAGGAATACAACAAGAACTATATCATCTTAAGTGAATTCCAAAATCAGAAACCGAGTAACTTAAAACAGCTTCAAACTAATTTTTTAAGTCTTCTAATTCTTTATTTTAGTCAAGCATATATAATTAGCCATGGCTGCTGTAGCTCAGTGGATTGAGCACAGGCTGCGAACCAAAGGGTCTCAGGTTGGTTTCCCAGTCAGGGCACGTGCCTGGGCTGCAGGCCAGGTCCCCAGTGGGGGCCATATGAGAGGCAACCACACACTGATGTTTCTCTCCCTCTCTATCTTTCTCCCTTCCCCTTTCTCTAAAAATAAATACAATATTTAAAAACAACAACAACAACAAACATACATAATTAGAGGCTTGCATTTCTGTATCTATTTGCTGTGAATCAGAAAAGTAAATTAACACACACACACCTGAGAGCTATGGTCCCTGCTGGTGTGCATTTCCACATCAAAAGTAATTTGTCCATCTTCTTGTGGGGAAGGGCTAGGAGAGAAAGAATTTGGTCATTAGTTTTAATTCCCATTTTGTCAAATAAATTATTCTAATTTCTACCAGAAATTATAAAATTAAAAGTTATAGCAGTATGGCTATGAAAAGCAGCAAATCAGAAGTACGCCATAACCCCATAGAAGAAAAAGTGAAATTGTGCAGCACTTTTACTTCCAAAATGTTCTGGAATTTTTCTGTGGTGATAAATTCCTTCACAATAACTTTGCAAAGGAAATGTTACCTACAGATGCAAGAATGTCACATTTTATTTTTACTTCCCACCCCCCCGCCCAATAAAGGTAAAATGATCTTTAAACCCAGAAACCTTGTTTGGGGTTCTTTGTTTCAAAGTTCCTTCATCATTAAATAATTCATTACCAACAGTTCTCAAAGTGTGAAAGCAGTTTCCAAAGACTCATTCCAAGGGTCTCAAAGGTTAATACTGTTTTCATAATATTATTAGATTCATTTGCTATTTTCATTCTCATTCTCTCATGAATACGCAGTGAAATTTTCCAAAGGTTACATGTGTGACATTACAACAGATCGAAAGCAAATGCACATGAGAATCCAGCTGTTTCCTAAGCCACATATTAAAGAGATTTACAAAAATATAAAACAGTGCCACTAGTCCTATTAACTTTTTTGTTTGTGAAAACTAGTTATTTTCCATTTTAAAAAGTTATGTTAAAATATAATGGTTTATTATTGTTGAATAAATACATTATTTTAAAATTTTCTCAGTTTTAATTTTTAACATAGTAAATACCACAATATATAATCCATGTAAAACAAAAGTTTTTACATGGGATCCCTGATAATTTTTAGGAGTGTAAAGAAGCACAAAGACCAAAAAGTTTGAGAAGCATTATTCTGCTTATTTCAGAAATATTTGCTTTGGGACATTTCAGTGAATTAGGTAAACATATATATTTATATCTGTATCTACAAATATATGTATGTATATAAATATATAACCTTTAATGAAAAATACAAAATGTAATCCCAGAACTATAAAAATGTACAGATAAATTTTAAGACAAAAACACATGACCACTGACTGTACTTGATACACTAGATGAATATAATGTGCTATTCTTAGCTTTATCAATGATTCCTTGTAAAATTCCACAGCAAGTCTCTAGATCTTTCACTAAACACTGTCCCCCAAAATCTAAATTCAAGTAGAGATTAAAAATGTTCAGTAGAACAGATGTTAAGTATTAAAGTTATCATGAGCATGTATTACAATGTTAATATACAGAGATGTTGGTAAGACTGACTCAAAAATAAGTGCAGTTACCAGAAATGTATCAGGTTGATTAAACCCAGGAGTCCTAGGCTACTACAACTGACACAGGAGATCCTTAAAGGAAGGCAGGAAAAGAAAAAAGCTGGATCTATATGAAATGAACATAATAATGTATTTGACAAATTTTTGTCTTGAACTAGAAATCTTAATTTACTGTCATTACACTCATAACTCTGTTGGGTTCACAGCCAAAGGTCAAGTTAAGGGCTAGCTTTGCAGAGCTGTGAGCAGGTCAAGGCAGCAGCATGACAGGTGAGAGTCTGACCCAAGCACCGTTCTACTTGCACACTCTTCTCAACACCGTTCCCATCTCCCTCAGAAATACCAAACATGTCTTTGGTAAACTGCTTACCACTCCTCACACTTTGGAATGCATTAGATACAGAGGTGTCGAACTCATTTTCACCAGGGGCAACATCAGACTCAAGGTTGCCTTCAAAGGGCTGAACGTAATTTCAACTCCTCATCAGTTAAAGAGCAGTTATATTTATACAGTCCTAAAATTATTTCATCCCTTTGAAGGCAACCACAAAGCTTACGTGGCCACCGGTGAAAATGAGTTTGACACTCCTATATTAGAGCTTCAACCCTGGCTCATGTCGGGACTGGCTGGGGAGATTTTTAAATATTCTCCTGTTTCTACCCATCCCCTGACAACAGAACGAGAATCTCCAGGGATGGTGTCTGGTGTGCTGGTAATTTTAAAAGCTCTCTGGATGAATCATAGGTTGAAAACTGCTACAACAGGATAGAATACAGCGCAAAACACATAGGTCTTATCTTCAAACAACCACCACAGTGACAAAAGTGTACCTATGAAATCATTTTTAAACTGAAAGTGTACATAAATTAGCTTTGGGACCAATAGCCAATAATCCTAAAACTTTGCCACCTACAAGAAACACTTCTCAACAACTTCAAATATACAGATGCATGACAATTCAAATGACATAAATTTTGACGACACTTTTAAATGTTAAAGTGTGTTAGATATCCCAAGAGTCTTACTGCGCTGGAGTTCTAAGCCTCCTCTGAAAGACAGTCAGTAAGCCAGGGCCTCCAGATATATAAGTCAAGGGAGAGGAAAGTGTTCAAAAGCATCTGCCACACTCACTTCACGTGGTTGGAAACCCAGCTGAAACATGAGCACAAGAGGGTGAATTCATATTTGATCACAGGTATCACTGCAACCATCACTGAAATCAGATGACCAAGAAGGCGAGCAAGTGACTTTTCCTCTGCTCAGTAACAGCACCAAGTAACCACCAGGTGAAGCAACACACTGGCACGGGTGATGAAGGGTCACATACTAATGCAGAGTAAAAGCCTATCAACAGGACCATATGAGCAGTGAACTTCAGAAATCCACCAGGGAGTCCCACGAAATGAATGTAATACGTTTATAGTTTACTTTTTCTATGTTTTATTGTGCTTTGCTTTACTGTACTTTAAAGATGCTGCATTTGTCACAAACTGAAGACCCTCCACCAGCAAAAAGATGACGACTTGCTTTATTGTGACATTACTGCGGCGATCTGGAACTGAACCCACAGTATATCTGAGGCCTGCCTGGGTAACAAAAACTTCATTCTGAAAAACTAATGCTGTTGCAACTGGAATCAAAGGCAAGGTGCTCAGAAAGCTATCCACTCTCCTTCTGCTCGTTACTAGAGCCATCCCAAGCTCTTAAGGAGCACAGGGATAAATCAGCCATGAGATGGGGTGGCAGGGGTGTACAATGTGCCACAGCTAAGACCTCAACCAGGCCTCTGCTGCCTTGGGAATATTGGTGGATCATAAGACACACAGCTACCTGAACATGAGTTACCTCTATTTCTCCTTCTATGCTTTTTCTGGTGAGTAATAATATGTGCCAAGCACACAATTTTTACAAAGCACAAAAATATTCAGAAGAAAAAAAATCTGTAATTCCATCCCCTGGAGATAATCACTGTTTACATTTTTAAATATTTCTTTCTCCCAGGCATTTTCTACATGGCCAATATCAGTTAACTCTTAATTAACCAGAAGATCATCCAATACCCTGTAATGCTATCTGCATGGCTGTCACTGGTCTAAGAATTGTCAAATGATACCAGTATGTCATTTAATATCTAGTCCCTCTGAAAAAAAGAGAAGCTTATATTGAAAATTAAACCAACAGCTCAGGCCCTGGCTGGGTAGCTCAGCTGGTTGGAGCATCATCCTGATATGCCAGGGTTGCAGGTTCGATCCCTGGTCATGGGCACATATGAAAGTCAACCAATGAATATATAGATAGATGGAATTACAAATCAAATGTTTCTCCCTCTCTGCTCCCTTCCCCTCCATCCCTCACTAAAAAAAAAAAGATCAATAAGTAAAAAAATAAAACACTAAACAAACAGCTCAATTTCATTCTACCCACACATACCTCTATATCCTTACTGTTTCACTTTAATCAGTGGAATTAGTTTCTCTAACTCAAATAGAGAAAAATGAGGTCTGAAATAAAACTTCCTCTGAGGAAACAGAATGGCCTTCAAAATTAACTATCTTTACAGACCTTGGTTAGTGCTTCCACTGTGCAAACATTGCTCTAACTTGAACCAACCTGCAGTTCCTATAATGTAAATACTACCTGCCAGCACCATTACTTCGGGAATACCAAGGAACACTGCGGGAAACATTACCCGCCTCATGGAGCCACACAGTTGAGAAGGGAAGACAGATATACACATAGATAACTATATTCAAGACAGAGTATGAGATGTGAGACAGGGACACAAAGGACAATGGGAGAAAGCTGGATTAATTCTATAAACAAACATTTATGCCATTGAGCTTTAAACTGATAAAACATCTAAAAACAATATAATCTGATAAGGAAATTGATTTAATCTGGGAGAAAACACTAGTACTTCTGAATGAGTTGTCTAATTTAAATATACAAACTGTGCCCTGGCTGGTATGGCCGAGTGCCAGCCTGTGAACCAAAAGGTCAATTTGATTCCCAGTCAAGGCACATGCCTGGGTTGTGGGCCAGGTTTCCAGGTGCAGACATGCAAGAGGCAACTAATCAATGTCTCTCATACACTGATGTTTCTCACCCCTCTTTCTCCCTCCTTTCCCCTCTCTCTAAAAATAAATAAAATACTTTAAAGAATACACATACTGTAATAAATTCAGTGTCATATTTTGTGAAATGAAGATGTAAGCCACTTATTTTTCTTAATGGGAATTAACCTTGTACCCATCTGTTTCCTGAATTCCACCAAAACCTCACTTACCTGTCACAGTGAGAACTGCCTCTTGAACTGCTCTGTCCTGATTCATGTTGTGCATCCAAAAGAATCTTCTCCATGTCTCCATTGTGGATAGAGGATGAGGAAGGGACGTGTTCCAGCCCCCCATTTTTCCCATTGCCATTTTCGTTGTCATTGCTGCTGTTCATGGGGAGCTCCACCCAGGAACCTGTTGGGCAAGTCAGATAACTTGTTAACTACAGCAGAACTGAAATCTGTCATGTGCACACCAATGTGAATATGGTGAATCCAGATAAGAAGTCTTACTTGCCTGAAACAAAATGCAAAAAGTATTCTGAAGACGACAAATAAGAAGCAATAATAGTCTACCAGTCTTTATAGTTCTGTTCCTGAAGTAGGGCAAACAATGAACCAACTTAGAAAAAGCTGGAACTCTAAAACTAGTACCGTAGAATATGTCTTTAAGCCAATTTTCTCTCTGGTTAAAGCTTAATTTACATACAACAAACACTGAACTGAAAACTTTTAGGCTGCTTTCCAAAAAATACTTTATATCTAGACAATTACTTTTAATATTTTACCTTTAATATATTTTCCACAGTCCTCCTCAGTTATTTAGTTGTCTTCTCTTCACAAATGAAATAAATATATGACTTAAATTTATAAAGGTCATCTAAGTAAGTTAACAACTATGTCCTAATTAGCACAAACAACTACAAAGCTCCTAGAGGAGGGACTCGGATGCAATCATAAAAATTTCAGTTTGTGTAAAAATTTGAGCAAAAAGTTAATGCAGCTGGCTCACAACTAAGTCAGGTGCTAGTGCTAAGAAAACCTGGAAAAAAGGTGTACCTCTAACCTGACAAATCATTTCTTCCTTTCCTTTATGCCTCACTATTTTCAGCCTTTCTCTTTTCTCTATCCACTAAACATACCTTGTGAACTTGTCTTTTCGCTGTTCTCTCCCAGGAGTTGCTACTTTCTAGGGTTTTCAGTAAAGTCTCTTTGGTTTGCGGGGAGGAACAACTGCACGTCTGCCACAGGTGACACTGAAGCTTTCTCATGGGAACAGTGGCAGAGTGCGGAGCCACAGGAGAGGGGCTATGGCTCTGGTAATGTGGATTGGTCTTAAAAATATTTACTGGCTTGATGAGTTTGCTGAACACATTAAGGAGCTTTAATTTTAACAAGAATTAGCAACAGTAGCTGATAAGTCAATTTCACAGAGATAGTAATTATTTTTTTCATTATTTCCATTCAATCCAATAAACTTTGTTTTAGAAGCTGTCACCACATGGGTTGCTGGGACCATTCCTCTGATCTCTCAGCAAAAGCGTCAGAGAGAGTTCTGTGGCCAAACACTACTCCATCAGCAAAACAGGATAATGACCCAAACAGGCGTGCAAACCCTAATGGCATTCTAAATGAGGTGATGGCTATTCCAGACCTGGACACCATCCTCAAGTGAAGGAAAAGCTCAACAGCAGACCTGGTTGGAAATCTGGCTCCACCTCCTACTAATCTTAATCTATCTGACTTTCTGACCTTGAGTTTCCTCATTTGTAAAACAAAGATGAGAACATAGTGCTGCCCTGGCTGGTGTAGCTCAGTGGATTGAGCGCGGGCCTGCGAACCACACGATCGCGGTTCGATTCCCAGTCAGGGCACATGCCTGGGTTGCGGGCCGGTTCCCTGCAGGCCAGTTCCCAGCAGGGGACGCACGAAAGGCAACCATACATTGATGTTTCTCTCCCTCTCTCCTTCCCCCACTTCCCCTCTAAAGATAAATAAATAATAAAATATTTAAAAAAAAATAAAAAGAGAACATAGTGCTTACCTCCCAGGGCTGCTGTGATGATTAAATATAGGAACATGGACAAACAGTGAGTGCTCAGTTACAAACTGGGTAAAAGAATTTATATTTGTAAAGTACTTAGAACAGTGTTTGCTTAATAAAAATGAAGTTACTCTTTCTGTTCTTTCCCTCTGAGGCAGTCCTGCACTGTCACAGTCCCCTAACCCCCACCGCATCTTTGGGACGGTACTGCCAAACACCAGTTAGATGACATCCCTGCAGCCTCAGCCTGTACACCCACAAAGACAGACACAGACAACACAGAACTCGACATGACTTAACAAACTGAACCAGCAAAGCTAGCGTAGATCTAACGCTAAAGGTAATTTAACTAAATATTTAGAGTGCCTCTGCACTGTATAATAGGCTAAAAGCATCCCTAAGTTTAGAGAGCTGCAAAATATTTTAACTGGAAAGAGAGGCAAAGAAAAAGTGAGGTACATGATAAACTGTTTTTCCCCTGCTAGCACTGTTTCTGGGATTTTCAAACTTATTTAACCAATGGGACCAGTTCTTGTACAGAAGCCCACTGTGTACAAGTGAACAAAAACAAAGAACAGGCCAGACCTGCTCTGGTGGAGACAGAACTAAATAAGCAGGAGTTCCAGACGGGACGCGGGGGAAGTCAGTGTTCCTCAAAATACAATAAATGTTCACTTGAAATAGCAGATCAAAGAGAAAAAAAAAAGCATGTAACAATATCAGGTGTTCTTGACCTTACTGTTCTGAAGGATTTCCATACCAATGTCTCAATTCTACTTCCTGCATTTAAAATATGTAAGCAATAATCTAGGAACTTGGGGAGGCATACCTAGAAAAGCTTAGTAAAAGCGGCCTCTGTAATTGCCTTAACACTCAGTATAACTGAAGGCAGTTCTACTTAAAACAGATGTTTACTTGACATGTATTAGGAGAGTGGTTAAGAGCTCCGACTCGCACTCTTTTATTACAGCTGCTGCACCCCAGACCTGTCAGTTTTCTCATCTGTAAAATAGAGATAGTAAATGTATCTACCTCATTGCACTGTCAGGAGGATGACATGAAGAAACCAAGTTAAAAAACAGGAAAAGTTACTAGTACAATGTGTTAGCTAATATTATATCTTTTAAAAACATTTAATACAAAGTAATGTTTCTTGAAAATGCAACATCAGTACATAAAATAAAAAGTAATACCTCTCCTCCCAATCTCACATCCCTATCCCAAAGGAAGCTACTTTTAAAACTTTCCTATGTAAACTTCCAGAGTTTTCATAGAAATACAGAATCACTGCCCTGGCTGGTGTGGCTCAGTGGACTGAGTGCCAGCCTGCAAACCAAAGGGTCACTGGTTCGATTCCCAGCCAGGGCAAATGCCTGGGTTGCAGGCCAGGTCCCCAGTAGGGGCCACATGAGAGGCAGGCACACAGTGATGTTTCTCTCCCTTTCTGCTTTCCCTTCCCCTCTCTCTAAAAATAAATAAAAATTAAAAAAAAAAACTGCTTTGCATCCCATCATGATATATCATACTTTAACCATTATACGAATGGCAATGGTTAAGTGCTACCCAAATTAATGTTTATATTGTTATTGAAATCAAGGCTTCAGTGGAGGATAGTTTGACAGTATGTATTAAGAGCCTTAAAAAGTTAAGATTTTCTTTAATCAATAATTCTCTTCACAGAAATATCATCTATGGTGAAAAAAACAGTACTGCAGAGAAAGTTATTGCACACATATTCATTAAGAGGCTACATACCACTCTTATCTTTTGAGAAAAATGCTTGTGAAAAAAGCAAACTTTTTCTTCTCCACAGAGGAACTCCATATGCCTTTTCCATCTCACCGCATTCATTTCTGATTTACAGCTCAGAATTTCCTGGCGTTCTAACTCTACAGATCCTCACTAGTCCCTTTTTATTTGGAAAGGAAACAAGACAAGATATGAGGATCATGCTGCCCAAGCAATACAAACTAGAAAAAAATCTGAGTGAATTCTCTTTCTAAAATCAAGCTTAAAAATTAAAAACCACAGGCCCTATTATATTAAAAGCTTACAAACAAATTGAAAACTATTCTCTTAGGACCGATTGTACATATACACCACACGTTAGACATTTTCTAGTTTAAGTTCTTGAGAATTGCTAAAAGATTCGGAGAAGCATGTTTCTACATTCTCTAATATAGTACATCGTGAAGGCTGGCCTAATTATGGTTTACATTCATGACTGTATGCTGCATATACTTTCTCTAGTTTTACAATCACCAGGTCAACCCTCCTGCAAAAAGGAGGGTGGGAGAGCTAGAGGGTGAGAAAGAAGAGAACAGTACTATTTCTCACTTTCCAAGGCTCCATGTGTCAATCTGACCCTAACCAGGAGTGACACATTTCATTACGTCTTATCCTCTTTCCTCAAAGCCTTTATTTTATTTCAAGTATCTGATGCTAGAATTGAGACATGAACAGTCACGGACATTCTTATTTTTTTCAAAAGCCAGTCTTTTTGCACAAGTAGGTACTCACACAATAATTATGTATTCTAAACAGTATTATAAGACAGTGACATTTCATGTATCATAGTCTTAAAAGCCTTCTTGCAATATTGGGGAAGCAAGAACATCGTGGCTGAAGATGTTTAAAAAAGGGGAAAAAACACTGTACTTCCTACATTAAACAAGAATTATACTGGTATCTTGATTTTCCTTATATTACGCCTACTGATTTTTATGACATACATGTCCTATACAAATATTCTTAAGTAATTTTAATAGTTTTCTTAGATAAAACCAACATTAGAAATTAGAAAATATCCTTTTAAACTTAGAGAGCAGTTCAGGTACTTGTTCACTAATTTGTAATGAAAGTGAACAGTTCCCCTAAAACAGTAAAAAAAAAAAAAAATCAGAGAAAGGTTTCATTATTCCAAATATTTCAATAACTTGCTATTAAAACTCTGCTTTGATCCCTGAACTAGAGATAAAATCCCAAGCCAGAGATAATTTGTACCATGAGTTCATCTCCTGTTTTTCGTAGTTGTGCAACTCTACCCGACAAAGAACTTCAACTTATCAGCAATTTGGAGAGTACGTATCAGAAGCCTGAATAAGTTGTTTGCCCAGTGCCCAAAAATCACTTGAAGGAATCAATAAGGCTTATTTTGCTCAGTCCAGTGTTGTATAATGAGCTAAAAAAAACAAACTGTAAAAGGCAAGAGGGAGTAAATAAATCTGACACTATCCAAAAGCTCTTCAGTAACTTAAAAGCTCAGCCCACCCTCAGAATACTTCCTATGTAGCAGATTTTCAAAGTAATCAAAGTAACATTTTGATTACCACACACAGGCTCAGTGTTCTTCCACCTTTTAAGAGCTAACATAAACATAGCAGCAACTGCTTGGCCAACATCATTAAATACCTAATAGGTCTGTCAGACACAGAGATAAAAACAATCACACATAGCTCGACACCATTTTTGTTGTTAAATGGTCAAAGGAAAATTATAATTCCTCTGCTTTCTGTGAAATCATGTACATATACTAACCAAGCAGCTAACTTAAAGGTATCACAGACAAACACTGAGTACGATTAAAAAACAGGTACTAAAAAGAGACAGAAGGGCAGGCCACCTCTGTATATTACATTAGGTGGAATAACACATTCACAGAATTAAAAACACACAATTCTGGGCCACTGAAAAGAAGTGTCCTGAAAGGAGCACTAGATGGGATGAACATGAAAACCTCAGCTCCAGATCCTCGCCAGATTTCAACTTGGACAACAGCACTTTTGACTCTAAACTTCTCTTTCCTGGTAAATAAGAGGTGACAGAAATCTCTAAAATCTCTTCCCAACACTTTGTAAAGTAGAAGACTGTCTAAACACTGTGCTAATACAAATAATCCCACAGTTCTAAAAGAATGTGCTAAACACGGGTAAATGATTTTAAAATGCAGATTAAGCCCTGGCTGGTGTAGCTCAGTGAATTCCGAGCTCAGGATCCCGGTTCAATTCCGAGTTAGGGAACATGCCTGGGTTGCAGGCCAATTCCCAACATGGGATGCAGGAGAAGCGACCATACATTAATATTGCTTTGCCTCTCTCCTTCCCTTCCTCTCTAAAGATAAATAAAATCTTTAAAAACAAACAAATAAATAAATGTAGATTAATATGTATAGCAAATAACACTGGCACAAATTGATCCTAATTTAGTGTGGGAAACAATGTTTTACATTCTAGAACATAAGACACCTTTTAAAAAGCTTTAACAATCCTGGCTGGTGTAGCTCAGTGGATTGAGAGTGGGCTGGGAACCAAAGGGTCACCAGTTCAATTCCCAGTCAGGGCATATGCCTGGGTTGCAGGCCAGATCCCAGAAGGGGGCACATGAGAGCCAACCACACATTGATGTTTCTCTCCCTCTCTTTCTCCTTCCCTTCCCCCTTTTCTCTAGAAATAAATCTTTAAAAAAAAAGTTTTAACAAGTCAACATTTCAGGAATTTATCCACGAAAAGATGGAGCAGCAGCAATAAGCAATGAAAACATGTTAAAATAATCGAATTCTATCCCTATCTTGAGAGGCCAGGAACTCTCTTCCCTAAGATAATTTTGAGGCCTTAATGCAACACCTTCCTTTTATGAAAGAAACTGCAATGCCCTCAAATGTCATGTAAGCATCCAAACAATTTTTTAACAATTTTATCTGGTCATATGAGAACTGAACCAACCACGTCTTTCATGGGAAGAATTTCAGGAAGATGAAGCAAAACCCTTCCCAAGACTCTGAACAGTACAGCCATCTGGGACTAACCTTAGGACAAGATGTCTGAGCACCAGAATGTTATGAAAAGCAACTGTAGTTGGTCTTAATTCAATAATGCCATTAACTTTCATCCGCTCTTGTATATGAATGTTTTTAAACCCATTTCTAAAAATTCATTGCCCCAGACTCCGTGATTTGTGCAATCTTGTATGGTTCAAGAGGGTGTTTGTTCATAAACTGGTTTACAGGACACACAGCCCCATCGTTGAAAAGAAAAAAATCATTTGAGCAACTCTGAAACACCAAAAAAAAAAAAAAGTGGCATAGCGTCCCCCGCCCCAGACGTTAACCAAGTAACCACTAAATTACCAAATGATTTTCCTAACCAGCCTGTGGTAACAAAAGAACGCAACCAGAGGTTTCTCACTCTCCTCCAGGCCGACCCAGCGACACAAGGCGGGGTCAGCCGCGCCAGGCTCCGCGCCGCCGCTCACCTGACCTCGCGCCCGCCCCTCGGCCGCCCCTTCCCCTCAGTCTGAGGCCCACGTCCATCCATCCCCCAGCGTCTCTGCCGCACGTCCCGATCCCTGCCCACGTCCCCTTCCGCGCCCGCTCCGCCCACCCTCCCAGAGCTCCGGGGCCCGCCCCTTCACTCCCGGACAGGCTCCGCTCAGGGGCCCACCACAGGTGGATCCACTCGTACCCCTCCTCTTCCCTCCCACCAGCCCTCCGAAATCGTGAACATCGGCCCCCGCCCCGAGACCCCAAGAAGGAGGGGAAGACCGGTCCGGAGGCGGACACAAACACCTCATCCTGACAGGTGACAGAAACTGTCAGTCACCCGCACATCCTCGGTCTGGACCAATGGGCTGCCTTCTCCTCCCGGCAGCCCCCCTCCCGGGGGGAACTGGCCGCGGCAGGAGGGGCAGCTCCTCCTCCCCCATCTCCTTCACCTAGTCTGCCCGCCCAGCACTCACTGTTAAGGCCAGCAGGCGGGGGCAAAGGCTGCTCTCCTTCTTCACAGTTGTTGTTGTTGTTGTTGTGCAGGGGCGGCGGCGGCTCCAGTAAATGAGACGACATTGTAGGGCGGCTGGAGGAGCTCTGTCCGCAGCTGGACTGGCTCAGGTTCTGGGACAGCAACACAACAAGCCGAGTCCCCCGCCCCCTTTTCTGCTCCTGCGCAGTCCCTCCCCTGCCCCTGACGTCAGCACCCGCCCCAGCCACGTGATGACAACACAACTAGGAACGGGGTGGGCCCAGGGCGTTCCCGGGCTGACTTCGGACGTGGAGACGCGGGAGTCACGCTGACGCGTGCGCCAGGAATGAAGTCTTGCGTATCGTTAGTCCCGGCGGGGTGGGTGGCGGTATGCGCCGGACATTGGATGGAGATCTGGGAGAAGCGTGTAATGAGGAGGTCTAGGATGCTCAGGTGTTGGCACCCGGGTCTCCCACACCTACGACATTGTATCCGTCTGTGAGCATTTCCTTTTTCGTATCCTAAGGACTCACTTCTGCAATAGGTGTTGGTAGTGAGACAAAGGAAGCAAAGACTCCAGTGCCTCCCTGTCATAATCCTCAAATAAAGCTGGTAAAGCATGAACAATATAAGGCAGGCCAGACTTTTCAGTTGTTAGAGAATTTCAAAAGTTTTAATTACAAACGATCGTTGTAAAAAATTTTTTTTTGGAAAATTTCAGGAAAACGTAGAGAAGAAAATAACTACCCAGATCCCATCACCTAATGTACTCCTGGGGCACGAGTGGGGCAGCCGGTTCCCGTACACGGGTGACCCCAGAGAACGCACGTTCCCAACAGCCACCTACTTGCCTTCAATGTGTTTGTGTAGTTTCTTTGGTCTGATTTTTGTGGGGGATTATTTCTCTTTGTCTATTGTCTTTGTTTTACTCTAGACGTTTAAGACTTTCACGTAATCAGATCTGCAGTATTATTTTTATATGACTTGGGAATAGCCTCACACCACGATTATGAGTGTATTCCTTATAAATTTTTCTAATTTTCTTATAGGTTAATTTTTGTATTTAGATCCTTAAGCCATGTGAAATTTAATTTCACCCTTTAGTCAATTGACCCAAAATATTTATTAATTTTTAAGTCACCCTTTCCCAACTGATGAAATGGGACCTTTATTGCCTTCTAAATTCCAACAAAAAGGTGAGTCTATTCCAGGACTCTACAACAGCTCTGTTAGGTAAATACAAGAGAATGTGGCTGCTCATATGTATTTTTGAACATTTTCATGACTATTTAATTACTCTTCAGATGAACTTAAAAATTTACTTGTCCAAGATTGGCCATGTGTTGGTAATAAAGCTAGATGATGAATACATTAAGCTATTTTTCCAATTTTAAAATATATTTGAGTAATTTCATACTAAAAAGTTTTTTTTTTGAGGATTGATTTGTCAGATCCCATGGCCCCTGGATGGTGTAGCTCAGTGGACTGAGCGCCAGTCTGTAAACCAAAGGACTGCTGGTTGGATTCCCAGTCAGGGCACATGCCTGGGTTGCAGGCCAGTTCCCAGGAGGGGACCCATTAGAGGCAACCATACATTGATATTTCTCTTCCTCTCTCCTTCCCTTCCCCTCTAAAGATAAATAAATAAATAATCTTTTAAAAAAGAAAATAATTCTTTAAAAAAATCCCACAGCAAATTCTTTTAAGGTTTTTGTTAGAAATGTATTCAGTTAATAGATTAATTGGGGAGGTAGGCAAATGATATATTTACAAAGTTGTTTTCCCATTCAGACTGTGATATCCCTCCTTATACTATTTTTCTTTAAAGAGTTGCTTCTTCTAAAATATCTTAAATGTTTCTCAATCTTTTTTGAGTTTTGTATAATCTTACGCTCATTTTATTAAAAATTATTAGAAAGTTTCCTTTTCTATGGTGTTAAGTAATGAAGTTGAAATTCCTTTTTTTTAAGGATTTGGTCTCCCTAAAGAAACTGTTCCTCTAAGGAAACACACAGAGCTAGTGTTTTTATGGAGGTTAACTCTTGTTTCTCTAGGGTATTACCTTTGCTTCTTAATTTGTGTTATTTGTCCTCTATTTTTGGTTTATTATGGTACCTAATGGTTTATCTATTTTATTGACTCTTAAATCTAATTCCTTCTTCCTAATGGTATTATTCTTAACTCTCTTCAGCTCACTTCAGATATAATACACATACTACAAAATTAGGCCATTTAAAGTTCACAATTCAGCGTTATTATATTTAGACTCATACAACCATCACCACAATCTAATTTTAGAACACTTTGCCACCCAAAAAAGAAACCCCTGTATTCATTAGCCATCATTCCTTATCTTTTCTTAACTTCTTACATTTGATGCTTATTTCATTCTTTCTTTAATTATTTGGATATTTAAGAATTTTCCCCTGGTTAGAGGATATTTTTGTACCATTTCTAGTTTGGAGATTTCTTCTTAGGTTTTCTGTGAGGCCTAATATATGGGTCCTTTTGGGGAATGTTCCAAGAGTATTTGAAAAGAAGGTATATAGCTCTTATGTTCAGGGTATCAAGCTTGATGTATCTATTGGAACTATCATAATATTAATATCATTTTTATATTTCCCCCCTCTTTATGTGTGATGGATTCTAAGAGGTAAATTAATATCTTTTAATGTTTCTATTCTATCTCCTTTCATTATAGTTGGTGCTTCATTATTTGATGCACAGATATTATAACTATCGCTGTTAAGCCATCATAATTTTGCCCTTTGCTGAACCTTGTCTGATATTAAAATCATGATGTTGTTATTGTTATTGTTATTGTTGTTTTTTGTTTAGTGGCAACATTCTGATGTGCCTTTACCCACCCTTTTAATTTTTTGCCTTTCTGAATCACTTTCTATTACATGTATCACTTGATAACTGCAAAAAGTCTTTGCTTTAGGGTCTAATCAGAATTTTTTTCTTTTTATAGAGTAGTTCTGCACATTTGTTTCTATTGATAATATAAATGTATTTTTGTTATTTCATATAATTCAGCCCATTTAATATCTTAAAATATCTCACTATGAGCCTATTTGTTTTACAATATATTTCATCTTAAAAGTTAGGAATTTTTATTTTGGTATTGTGACTTCCCTTTGTAACTATATATTCATATAATTCCTTTAATCTCCATTTCTTTAGGCAATTTCTTTTAATGGCCAGAAAGAAACAATAATGAAATTAGTATAATTCTTTTTCTTCCACTACTCATTTTATCAATCATACTCTCTTAATATTTACTTTTGTAGTTTTAGATACTATTGTGTATCTGTCATTTGATGCACAAACTTGATATATTTGATGAGTAGAAATAAGGTATGATACTTGGCCCTATCTCTTACTTTTCAACCTTTTCTTCACAACAAACAACTTTTGTTAGTTATTCATTTCAATATTATTAGAATTTATATATTGTATGTATCCTATAGCTATTGCCACAATCATGCCATATAGTAAACCACCCCAACTCCTTGGTTTAAATAAAAAGAATTAATTCTCTCTCTTGCATCTGAAGGATAGTTAATATAGACTTAGCTCACATGGATTTGGTTTCAAGGTGAAAGGTGGTCCAACTCTGCCCCATCAGTCATCCTCTTTGAACCATGGGGTTGGTCAGGGATATTCCTTTCATAATGATGAAAGAAAAAAAGAACGAGTAGATGCAGCTCTGAACTATCATTTCCATGTATATTCCATTTGCCAAAGCAAGTCAAATAGCCAATTGCAAAGTCCCATTGCACGAGGAATAGATTCTGGGAGTGTGAAGAACTGGGAATAATAGTATGATCAATAACAGTGTGAGCATTTTTCCCCTATTTGTTTTAAGTCTCAGTTCTTTTTTTTTTAAATATATTTTATTGATTATGCCATTACAGTTGTTCTATTTCCCCCCTTCATTCCCCTCCACCCTGCACACCCCCTCCCCTACCTTTCTCCCCTTTAGTTTATCCCTCACATGTCTCAAGTTCTTTAGATTCTATATTTCCCCTACTATTCTTGCCCTCCCCCTATTTTCTACCTACCACCTATGCTACTTATTTTCTGTACCTTCTCCCCCCTTCTCTTCCTCCCACTCTCCTGTTGCTAACCCTCCACGTGATCTTCATTTCTATGGTTCTGCTCCTGATCTAGCTGTTCTTTTAGTTGCTTTTGTTTTAGGTGTGTTTCTTAATAACTGTGAGTTTGTTGTCCTTTCACTGTTCATATTTTTTATCTTCTTTTTCTTAGGTAAGTCCCTTTAACATTTCATATAATAAGGGCTTGGTGATGATGAACTCCTTGAATTTGATCTTATCTGAGAAGCACTTTATCTGCCCTTCCATTCTAAATGAAAGCTTTGCTGGATAGATCAATCTTGGATGTAGATCTTTGGATTTCATGACTTGGAATACTTCTTTCCAGCCCCTTCTTGCCTGCAAGGTCTCTTTTGAGAAATCCGCTGACAGTCTGATGGGAACTCCTTTGTAGGTGACTATCCCCTTATCTCTTGCTGCTTCTAGGATTCCTTCATTTGAATCTTGGGTAATGTAATGATGATGTGCCTTGGTGTGTTCCTCCTTAGGTCCACCTTCTTTGGGACTCTCTGAGCTTCCTGGATTTCCTGGAAATCTATTTCCTTTGCCAGATTGGGGAGGTTCTCCTTAATTATTTTTTCAAATAAGTTTTTCACTGGTGGCTGTTCCTCTTCCCCTTCTGGTACCCCTACAATTCAGATGTTGGAGCATTTAAAGATGTCCTGGAAGTTCCTAAGTCTCTTCTCATTTTTTAAAATTCTTGTTTCTTCATATTTTTTTGTTTGGTCATTTCTTTCTTCCTTCTGGTCCACTCCACTGATTTGAGTCCCAGTTTCCTTTCCATCACTATTGGTTTCCTGTGCATTTCCCTTCATTTCAATTAGTTTAGCCTTCATATGTTCCTCTAATTTATGACTAAAATCAACCAGTTCTGTGAGCATCCTGATCACTAGTGTTTTGAACTGTGCATCTGAAAGTTTGGATATCTCTTGGTTGCTTAGAGTTATGGGCTCTGGGGCTTTGAGTTCTTAGAGCCATGTTTTGGTCTGTTCACGCCCATTATGTATGAGGAGCAGGAGCTTTAGGTGTTCACCAGGGAGGGGCCACCCAGGTCAATGAGTTGTGACGCTGTATGTGGGGGCAG